TCGATTGCATTTGTTCCGGAAGCACGTCTTCACTGGTATGCACAGACAACCAGATGGGTTTCTCACTTCCGCCAACTGCCTCAGGTACTGTTGACCTCTGACCTGCTTTTCCGGACGGTGGCATGGATCACCGCGATTGTGCCTTTCCGATGGGCCTGGCACTCAAATAACTTGGACTCCTGGTGGACCCCCCAGAACGTTGTGCTTGACACATATTCGCACCAACAGTTGACCTTGCACCATGTTCTGATGGAGCTCGAACACGCGTTAGCACGTGACCTGTTTCTCACCATAGCCGGTAGTCGGGATGGCCGAACATATGTCCAACGACGACATGTCCTTTTACGATCTGGTCGAGGCTCTCGGCACCCATGTGAAACGGCCTCGAACGGCCGACTCAGAGTCTTCCACCCAGACTGGCAAGGGCAGATCGAAACATCGATCCAACTTCTCGGACTCATCCAGGAAGTCCGAACAGGATGCTTCGTTAGTTCAGATGCTGGCGAAACTTTGTTTGAGACAGGAAGACACGATCAATGCCATGTGCTTGGACCGCAGTTTCCTCCTCTTTCTCCAGGCCGGCAAGGGATCCATACTTCCCACCATGCTCACGGCCTCAAAAGAATGGCACACTCAGAAGCAGCAGGCTGGTGTGACCTGCCCTCTGCGGCAGGTGCTTTTCTTGAAAGTGGTGGAGGAGCTAGTGCAACGCATTGGTCGGCTCAATGTCGAAGACAGCGCCGACGCACTTTGCACCAATCTTCGGAGCAAACAGATCTTGAATGCCCAAAACGAATGGAACTACATGTCGTGGGATCAGCAGGCCAAATGTCTGAGACCCACCAAGCAGGAGCCACTTTCTTTTGTTCGCGTCCGGGAGATCCTGACCTTGTTGACACGCCTTGGAGCCAACACCGAGTTGATCCACAAATTTGCTCCGATGAAGCCCATGAACCAAGAAGGGATTCAGGAAGACAACCAATTGGTGATCCCGTGGCGACTGGACATTTCCCTGCGCAGCCCGGAATCCCACCAGATGTTTGGTGCGTTGATGGCCCTATGCGGGAACGGCATGGGACAGATGGTGCTTTTGAGGATTCGTACTACCTCCCTCCAGCGATCCCCGCTGGCTCAGGCCATTGCAAGACAGGTGAGAACGTAGCTCGCAGTTTGTTGACACATGCCTTTAGCAACAGCGGCAATGCGTGCTACCTCAACAGTGTCATGTTGAGCCAGCTGTGGTCGATGGCCGCACATGACAGCTTTACCCCCGCTGAGTGGGGTGCATGGGGTCAGCATCTTTTGTCTTTTTTGACAGATGCTGGATGGCAGTTGGCTGACCTTGTGGTTGATGAGCCATTTCGTACACTGCATGGTCCTTGGCTGAATGCTCATCCATGGGGAATTCAGCAGGATGCTGCTGAATATAGTGGTTGGTTGCGTGAACAGTTCATGCAACACAGCCCTTGGGGACGACAGGCCAATGGATGGCAAAGTAGGTTGACCATTGGTCATGAAGACGGTGGCGCATTGATTGCACCGATCTTGCTCCGCTGCCCTGACCAAAAGACGTGTTCATTGCAAAACATGATTCATGCATGGCACCAGCAATCACCATACACCAATGCGTGTTTATCGGAGCACCCCAACATTTGTCTTCAGATTGAGCGCTTCCCCGACTTGCACACCAAGAATCGCATGAATGTTGATTTTCCCAGGTCCTGTGTCCAGATTCCGATTTTTGCACGAACCTCCGGCCTTGATGTGTACTGGGCTGAGTATCGTATCGTGAGCCTGACCTTACACTTGGGTGAGGGACCTCATTCAGGACACTATCAGTCCTGCTTGTTGACAAGTGGAAACCTTTGGATGACCGATGATGATCGTTTGCCCTGGCTGAGTTGTTTGCACCCCGCCATGCAGAAAGATTGCTATCTGATTTGGCTTGTGCCTCAGCTGGGGCTTGCGAAGTTTTGGCGCCGGCTATTTCCCAAAGTGGCCGCAGAAGAAGATCCATGGACCCAACTTCTCGAAGACACTTTTCGTTGAACCTCGTCGTACTCAGGCTGCACCCGTTTCCGGGGCTTCTGATGCACACGATGCATCCGCTTTCGTAGCGCTGCCCAACACGGGCCAATAATACATTGGCCGGATGTGAAATGAAAAAAAAAAATATAATTTTGAATGATATATTATTGAGGATTTTGTATCGGGAATAAATTATAGATTCGATTGGGATATTTTATGATGGGAAATATATTTATTTTTTATTATTGAATTTATTTTTTGAATATTATATTGAATAATTTTTTTGTAAATATATTAAATATATATTTATTAATTATATATATTATATTTACATTTATTATATATTAATAATATATATAATATGAATTCGAAATATATAAATATAATATATATAAATATAATTTTAAATATAAATTTATATTTTTTACTTTTTAAATGAAATAAATATATTTGGAAGATTATATATTTCTTTGAATATAGAAAGATATATAAATAGATTTCGATTTTATTATATATAATATTGGTTATATTTAGATTTGAAGCATTTGGGCATTTGTAATTATATAATAATATATAATTCTTGAAATTTATATTCTTTAGTTAATTTCTGCAAGGAATTTAATTTCATTTTAATATATGGGAATTTAATTGGTGCAAATTTATTATCTTTGATTATTTAATTATATAGGTAATTATATAGGATTTAAAGGTTGGGTTTAAATGGGTTACGTCTATATATTTTCGATACTCAAAAATATACATTTGGATTTAAATAGACCAAATTTACGCAATTTTGATATTCAAAGACGCGGATGTGGTCCCTAAGCGGGCCATATTTATGCAATTTTAATGCTCAAAGACGTGGATTTGGGTTTTAAGCAGACTATATGTCCAAAAACGCGAAATTAGGTTTAAGTGGGTCATGTTGACGCAATTTCGTTGCAAAAAGATGCATATTTAAGCCTAAGCGGGCCATATTTACACAATATTAATTTTCAAAGACACGGATTTGGGCCTTACACGGACTATGTAGAAGGATGCAAAATTAGGCTTAAATACGGCATATTTACGCAATTTAAATGTTCAAAGACGTGCATTTTACCCGAAAACTTAAACAGGTCCGGATTAAGAAAATCAAAAGAAGGGGAGATCGATAAAGCATTTAAAGAGCAATTCTAAAAAAAGAATATTATTATCGGGGATTTGCCTCCGGCCCTATTGCGCGGATCACTAATCTAAATACCATTTATATATTTTTTTATATAAAATATAATTTCATAATATTTATAAATATTTAAACATATCTTGTGTTTTCCATATACATAATATAATCCTAAACAAAATATCTAACCAATAAATAACAAATATAAATATATAATATGTAAATTTAATTTCTATATTTATATATATAAATTATTTATATTATTAATATATAAATAATTTATAAAAAAAATTACGCATTACGATTATTCTAATCATTAATTAAATAATTAATTATATATTCAATTTCAAATTTATATTATATATTTACAAAAATTTAATAATATATATCTTTATATTTCATATATTTATATTTATTATATATAAAATCCTAAAATATTTTTTATTATATTAATTTATATTCAATGTATAAATTCAATAATATTGCAATATATTATATTTACATTCTTATATATACAATATATGTATATATATATATGTTTTTAAATTTATTAAGGATATATTCTTTAAATATATTGTTACGATATATTATATATATGATTTATAAATTTGGTACGTATTTCTGGATTTTTCTGGATTAGCGAAGAGATAATCAAAGATAATAAATTGATAGCAATGATGTTTCCCTCCACAAAGCCCGCAACCCACAAAAGTTTTAGAGGGCCCTATCCGCAGGCTCGGTACTTAGTCCAGAAGTCGTCCAGGATTGGCCAGTCTGAGCCTGTGGCGTCGTCCGTCTCTTTCCATTGAAGTCCGGAGCCATTTCCATGCAGGCTTCCCTGACAAATTCGAGCCGCTACTCAGCCCTGACCCTCCAAGGCCGTTCGGATGACTACATGCTGGCAATTTTTCCCCAAACAGTGTGGACACACTAGGGGTTCTTACGGTGGAAGAAAAGCAGCTGATGCTTAGATCGCAAAAGCGCGCAGGCGTGTACGTCTAATTCGCTGCTATTTACAGCACATTCATGCCTCTCGAAACTCTCGAGGTGCATTTCGACTGCGCAGACTCGCAAAGTCTGAGGGCCCGCGACTACAAGCGAAAATTTGCAACAACAAATAGCCGTAAAATGGACACAGCAAGTTTGTTTTTTTCGCCACAGCGATCTAAATATGTGGAGTTGTTGAGCCCTTTCACAGCCGATGGGGCCGAAGTCACTCACTACCACCCCTGCGCGAATAAACATCGGGCTTTGTGCAAACGTGAGGTTTGGCCCCCTTGGCAATGCCAGAACTCATGCAGCTGATGCTACCTTGTACAATAATCAAAACGTCTTCATGCCCATTTCCAGTGTTTTGGAATGCAGGCAATGATCTATTTTCAATCAAGGAAGGGTGGCCCCTATCGGACAGGATACTTAAGGCAGCCCACTACTGAAGTACATCTACAACGGTCTTGTCGGATGCCCATGTGCTATGATATTGCATATGGTTCGTTAAACATACATATATATATATAACTATATATACATATATTGTCATTTCACTGCACATTGATTTGTTTTGCACTTGAACAGGCGCTGTGAAGCATTAGCAAGCGGTTCAAGCGTTTTGATTCTGGGTCACCCACCACGATTTTGCGTGTAAGGATCCTTTCAGGTCGCCCTCATTCCCGCCCAAAATGCTGGTAACAGCAATGCCCTAGGGTGAACCTGTGTTTAGGACCTTGAGAGGTCACAAAAGTAGTCCTGAAGAAATAGCACACGCACAGTACTGATTCCAAAGGACTTCTTGATGAGCGCCCCTGAATGTGGCACGAAACCTGAAATACAATCAAGTGGAAGGTGATTTTTGGACGCGGGGCTCTTGTGCCGCGTCTCCTGAACTAGGTCGCAAGGTTGCAGGTTGGTCACCTGACTCCAATCTTGAATTATTTTCATGCAACTGGATCTGCGGTGGCCTGTGCTGATTGAAGGTCACATGTTTGCAGTGTAGCACTAAACATGGTGTGCGAAGGCCACAAGGGTATACTGTGCAATGTTTTTTTGCTCATGGAGCTGCTTCTTTCATGAATGTGGCTGGCTAGCCGACAAAGGGATGCAAAAGCCGTGAAAACGTCAAAATCGCGAAAACGGCAAAAACCGCGAAATGTTCAAGCCAAGATTTGTTTTGTTTACAGTATATTTGTGTTCTAATTTTCATTGTTTTCTTGTTTTCTTGATTTTCTCGGGCGAATCCTCTTAGGTGGATGTCGCTACAACGATTCGGAACAAAAACATTGTTTTCTCCTTGAGCTGCTGTCTCACCCTGCATTAGCCCATGTATGTACACCAATGCTGACTGCTTTCCGTCCACAATTTCTCGATTTTGAACGCAGCATCGATCATTGTCAATTTCTCTTAACAACACCCGCAAAACTAGTCCCTGGCCTCGCCTGATCAAATTCGCCACTGAGCAAGTCCTGAAAGAGAGTGGAGGAACCAGGAGAAAACTTTCGCTAGTTGGTGGCCCGGCACTAGCCGGAGGCCATCGCTAGTAGGTTGGAGGCCATCGCCATTCGGTTGGAGGCCATACTACTAGGTGGAGTGTGCAAGCCATCGCTATTAGGTTTGAGGATGTTTGAGGCCATTGCTATTAGGTTGGAGCTATTAGGTTGGAGGCCATCGCTAGCCGGTTGGAGGCCATCGCTACTAGTACTAGGTTGGAGGCCTTTCCTGAGCAGCCAAGGGCCCAACACAGGAAGCCAGGCCTCACAGTGGCGGTGCATTTCCTCCTTCCTGCAAATGGGGGAGCTCACATGTAATCCAAATTTTGCACGAAGGGACATGGACAAACACACGCACAACCAGAACAACAACTGTGGGTTGCTCATGTATTTATCATGTATTTCTTCAAAGCTTATGCATGGCTTACGCAAAAGGTGTCCTTACAAAAAGCTTACGCAACCTTACGCGCGTGCAGGTTTTGCTTACGCACAACTTCGATATGACAACACACTGAGTAAACATGAACACGGAGGTTTATCGAATGGCTCAGTTGTAGTTGCATGATCTTGCACTTTCGCACTACCGGCGCGGTTGATGGGCAAAAGAAAAGGCTTGAGGAGTCTGATTCGTAACACGGCTGCACGATGTTGAACCATGTCTTCCCCTGCCCGTTCTTCGAGTCGCAGAATTCTATTCAGCCACATATGGATGGAAAACATGTAAAGAAAGTGATCTGCTCATCTGGACAAGTCCTTCAGGCCGCCTAGGTCGCACGACTCGGCAACCCATCTGCATTGAAGAAAGGATCTGCTACAAAATTACAAATAAACCTGATATGACCTGCTTGGCATGAGAGATCACTGCTGAACACCCCAGTCAATGCTGCCGTTCAATCATGTGGCATGCAAGGCTAAACTTTTTGCCCAAGCCCAAGTCTTGCCCAGTTCGTGCATCTTTATACGCAAAGCTCCGATTCAGCGTACAAATGCAGATCTGGATTTGGAAAAGGCTCAATCAGACTTGATTGGCGAGAAAGGGATGGGACCTCCAAGGTCATCATCATCTGCCAGTGTGGGCTCACCAAGGATGGGCACACCGCGGCTCATTGACTCCTGCGTTAGCTTCATCATCTCCTCCTCATTGTCCAGCATTTCGAGTCCTCTCTTTTTCACGACCGCCGCGCCCTTGATCTCCTCCTCAGTCTCTGCATACTTGCCCATTTCTTCAAAAATTTTTCGCAACATCTGTGCTTTTTCACGCCTCTTTTCACATCTCTCTTGGTAGAGGACTTGTGACTTCTCGGTTGCTTCCTTAACGGCCTTCACAATCGCCTTCTTTGGTACTTTGTTTGGGTCCGTCGCGAAAAGGCCCCGATTGTTGGACAAAATTGGCCCAGTAGACCAATCGATGTCCTCGCCATCTAAATCGGCTACACTTGCGCCAGCCTCTTCGGCGATCAGGACACCAGCTGCATGCTCTGTGAGGCGCAGCCTGGATGAAGAATCATAGAGGCCCTGTGTGATGCTCCAAGAAATGTCCTCATCCCCTCTGGCCAGCCAACCTCAGAGACTTCTTGAAAGGGGCGACGCCAGCATACGAAGGCACTGTACACGAATGGATTACTTAATAGCTACAAGTAAAAGCTAAGTTTCCCTTAAAACAGGAACCGGAACCAAATGCCAAATCATGACAAGAGCCCTTCTGCATCCAAGCCTAACCAAGCCTAAGAACCCACTTAAGCTAATTACCTACCCCTTGCTACTAGCTACTAGCTAGCTTGCTGCGGCCTACCCACCCACCCCACCCCTTCAACAAACCAAGCCAATGTCTACATTGTATAACATTGTTGTTCCATTGTACTTACTTCAAAGGCCCAGCAACTGAACTTCATGGAGTTGTCAATGAAATGAAACTTGGCAAACTCAGACCCCAAGAGCTTGGCAATCCGCTCCGAATCAAGGAAAATGTCTTCCCGCATTCTGGAGTGCTGTGAGATGCGCAGCTGCTCAGTCCCCAGCATATCATAGAGCCCATCGTTGCCACGCCGGATCTTCTCACTCACATTCAGCTTCAGGGATGGGCTTTTCAAGCCATACTGCCCCATATACACGCCAGTTTCCCTCTTCATCACCACGAGCTGTGTCCACGCACCCTGTCCCTTCATAGCATAGAAAATTGGGCATCCCGAGGGGTGGGGGCTGCTGCGGCTAGGATGGTCATAGCTCAGCACGGGGCAGCCCATCAGACTGAGAACTGGCTCATTATCCTGCATCAGGCACAACGTGCAACCGAATTGTTTGGCGTCCCTGAAGCATTTTTTTGAATCAATCGGTGTAAACACCCAGTATCTTCTTGGTGGCTCACCCTCCGAGTAAGAATTGCAATGCTTGCTCCATTCAGCGAGTGAGCTGGTTGTTGCATCAGGCATAAGCTGGAAAGCTTTGAAGAAGTTCACCACCTCTTGGGCAAAGCCTTCATCTCTGGAAAGAAGCTCCCCATCCTCATCGCTGAGCACAGGGTCCTCGGGAAAGTGCTCAAGCAGCTGCTTCATGACATAGCTGGTTACAGCCAGCCCGGGCATTGTTGACTCAGTGCCATCGGATGCCTCTCGGACGTATTTGTCTTGCAGCTTGAAGCCGTGCAACCCAACGGTGGACTTGTCCTTGACATCCTCCAGGAGCAGCAAGCCGAGGCTTAGCATGTGCATCACTTCCACCATGGTTTCAATGCCGACCTTAAGCTCTTTTCCCAAATCGCTCTCCAACAACTTCGCTGGGATCACGTCCTCAACGGTTTTGTCAGCTCCCAAAATCTTTCTTTCGCGAGTACTTCTGTCTAGTGCAGCCTTCCTGTCTGGCTGACTCATTTCTTTTGCTTCCTGCAAGGAGGAGCTCACCGCATTCCGAGGAGCTTTTCGATTCCGCATGCGTCGCCTCAATCCGAGGCCCATGGCGCCTGCGGCCACAGCTGGCGCATGGCGCACAGATTCATGTGGAGCGCCAGCGCAGCTGGGCTGGGCCAAAGGGGCTGGAGTTCGGGGAGCGGCTGGGGCGAGTGAGGCGCGGTGCCCCAGCACACTGCCGGAGAACGGCGCAGACACTGCTGCCATCTCTGCGCAAAGCGCCCAGCTTGCAACACTGGATGTTCAATAGCACCTAATGAAAAAGTCCTACAGTGCTCTACGTGCTCAATAAAAGAACTGCTTGAGCCACCCATCACCAAGTGATCTGTTGAAGTCAAGCACCCTGCATCACGCACCTTAAGCAACTGTTTGCTTTGGAGCCTTTCCCAGAATCTTCTCTCAGGCTGATGCCAGTGCCCTCGAAGCTGGCGGTCAGAGTTCTAGCGATGGGATAGCAAACAGCAACAACTTGATCAATCTCGAGTTTGGAGCGACACGCTGACAAGCTCCCATGATTGGGACCGCTGGCTGATGGGCAATTGTGCCCTCAAACCGCATGAGAGCCAGCAATGTTGTTCCTTGCACCAACTTTATATATAAACAACAGCCAAGGCTTCACCAAAGCAGCCATGTTTTAACTTGTCTGTGGATGGTTCCCTGCCTCTCTTGCTGCGGCGCATTTGGGTCAAAAGGCTTGTCCTCTACCAACTTTAGAGTCTTTCAATTCAGCTGGAGTATAAACATCAAGAAATGCCAAGCCTGAAGCTGCAGCTTCTTAAAATCATCATCACCTGAGAGAAAGTTAGCAGGTGGTGCTGCCACCTGCATGCATTTCTTACCGGGAGTACATGCTCTACTATCCACTCCAGGATGGTGGTGTGTTCGGACCTAGAATATACTCACCTCATCTCATTTCTGAACACAAACACTTGCAGTAGGTGTCTGAACAAAAATCCGCACATGTTCATGCATACATGAATGTTCGTTGAAGATTTTCATGTGTTCCGATTCAATCGGTCCATGCCTTGCTACTGACAAACTCCCTTACCCACGGCCCTCGCCCTCAATTTCTTCAACGACCCCACAAATGCATCTCCATAGATCCAGTCATACCAGTCCGTGACCAACCACTACCCAAACCGCACAAAACCCGCAAATCGCCCATGTCACCGCAATTACAACTAGATGACCGCAAACCACCGCAGGTCGCCACAAACAAACACAAACGCTGCTTGTCAATCATCGCAGTTCTACGCTTCACATTGAATCACCAATTACAACAGAATCGAAATCCATCACTGCGGTCACCACTGATTGCCTATCCGAATCACCGCAAACTTGCCACACACACAACCAGAATTGCCACAGGTCAGTACAATCATACTACAACAAACCTCGCAAAAACGCGCACAATGGCACATCGTCCAACCCGCTTCTCTGGCTTCCAAGATTGGCGTGCCTCTTTGGAACGTCCCACTGGAGGTGGTGTTTGATGTTTAAAGTACAGATTACCGTTGACTGTGCTGTACCACCTTACTCGGCACATGTTCGTACTTCGGCACTGATATGCGGGCAACATTTCATCTACCTTGTCTATCTGTCCGCCTATCTTTGGTCAATGACACACTCCAAAGGCTCTTGCCACTGCTGGCAGTGGTCTCTGTCTCCAACTCTTTCATCAGCACTTCTCGCCTTAAGCCAGCCCCAATGTATCTGGACAGGTCTGAAGTCCTTTTGGATCCTTTTGGCAATGATAGGGCTGCGGCAACAGCAAGGAACCCCCTCACAAGTGTCCCTTATGCCTGCTGCATGTGAATCGTATGGCTGGCCTATGACCATGGTAGCCGAGGCCCCTGCTCTTCAAGGGGTTCTGGCCTGCAGTAGTTTCTAGCTTTGCCGCATTGCCACTGCATTGCTGGGTTTCAAAGTCACACAGTCACACAGACTTTTCCTTTCTTCTCTTTTGCTTCCACCAATTCCACTGATGCCATTCCGAGTTGCTCTTCGTTTCCAATGGCTGCGGGTCATGTGAGGATCTTCCACAAGCATCTGAGGGTTGTGAAGAGTCTGCTCTCTGAGCAACCCTGACTCGCCGACATCACTCAGAAGTGCCTGGCGCAGCTGAGCGGACACCGAGAGGCACAGATTTTGAGCCTCGAGTAGAAGCAACAATCGCACAAGAAAGGGCCCCTCTCCTTCGTTGCCATTCTTACGGCATCTTACGGCAAGTTTTCGTGCGCTCATATGTCTGTAGGCTTCACACATCACGTGGTGTGCCCCTTGGAGGCCATTCCTATAAGGTTGGAGTAGGAGGCCATCGCTAGTAGGTTGAAGGCCATCGCTATTAGGTTAGTTCCTTAAAGTCTGAATTCTTAATCTTTTTGCAATATTCTTTTTCCTCGCCAATCACGCCGCTTCGCCGCTTCGCCTGTTGTTCCGGGTTCCTGGCCCTTCGTGGCCCTCGTACCTTGGGGGAGCGTAGCTTCTTGGGCCACAGGGAACTGAGACATCATGCCGCAGCGTCCTGTGAGAGCGCCCATTGCTACGACCGCAAGAAGGGACGAAGGGAGAACATTGAGACCTGAAACTTTCAAGAAGGATGTAATTTTTCCAAGAAGGTAAAGTAGGGACTGAGGCGCAAACACATGGAGTTAATTGTTCGCATCATGTGAGCACGGACTTCTTGGGACTTGACTCACATGGAGACATTGAAGGCACCCCGACACTCACCAGGCCAGTGGTTCGTCTCAAACCTGGCTGCATCGAAGCAGGTGACCTCGGTCATGCAGGTGCGAGCGGCATTGGCTCGACATGTTCGAGGGACCTCAACATCTGTGGGTTCCGTTTACAGTGATGTTGTCCTCCAACTCTGCTAGCAAAAGTCTGCATGATGCATCCATGATTTGCTCCTTTTGGCCCAATCGGAGGCCAGGTGAGTTCGGCGGACCCCGCTATGCCAAGCTGAGTGGCAAGGTGCCTGTCTGGCCCGTCTGGCCCGTCTCCTCTTCCACGGCCTTCAAGGCCTCCCACTTCCACCGTCGGCAACCCAAGAACCGAAAGAAAACGAAAGACTTTCATACAAGCGACACACACACACACTTAGTCACAGGGTTCGCAGTTTCCAAAACCCACAGTGAAGTGGGTGTGGGAACGCAAAAGGCGCAAAATCAGCTCAACTGAAATGTTCAACAATGTTGCACGTGACTGCGGAAAGCGGTGGTGTCTCAGCTGCATACGCGGCAGGAAAGTGGGTTTGGGGGAAAAATCATGCGAACGGCCACGGAAACAAAGAAACAGCGGAGGGGGTCAACAGTTCAAATTGCAGGTACAGGAAACTGGCCAAGTTTCCCTTCCCACTCTTATCCACAGCTTCGTTGCATGTGGTAGGATAAGAGTGTCACACGCCCCTGCTCGGTCATTGGGGAGGAAAAAGGGAAAAAGTGGTCAGTCGTAGAACAAACTCTTAGAAACAGAGTGTGACTTGGCCCTTTGGATTACTGCAGTACACGAATGCATTACCTTTGGATTACTGCAGTACACGAATGCATTAGACCGTGAACGCAGAAACAGCGCATTAGATAGCTTTTGCTATACTTATATAGGTTCGCAAAACTCAATGTGCAGGCACGTCACGGTGATCAGCCGCCGTATCCTAGTCAACTACATGGAGCTTCGTTGGCGACAGCCATGCGGCTCTCTGTCCCTTGCCGGAGTGAGAGTTCAAGGGACAGAGAGTAGTAACAAGAAGCTACTAGGCGGAGGCCATCGCCATTAGGTGGAGGCCATTGCTACTAGGAACAAGAAGCTACTAGGCAGGTAGAGGCCACCGCTATTAGGTTGGAGGCCATTACTACTAGGAACAAGAAGCTACTAGGTGGAGGCCATCGCTATTAGGTTGGAGGCCATTGCTACTAGGAACAAGACGCTACTAGGTGGAGGCCGTCGCTATTAGGTTGGAGGCCATTATGACTAGGAACAAGAAGCTACTAGGTGGAGGCTGTCGCTGTTAGGCTGGAGGCCATTACTACTAGGAACAAGAAGCTGCTAGGTGGAGGCGGAGGCCATCGCTATGAGGTTGGAGGCCATTACTGCTAGGAACAAGAAGCTACTAGTAGCAAGTAGTGTCCCTCGAGACGGGAGGTGGCACACACACAAAATCATGAGTCAGATGCAGTAGTGAAGTTGGCCTGCAACATGTTTTTGACCCGCTAAATGCAGCCATACCAAACAACTCATTGCTCTAAGATTCACAATTCGCTTCTCTCTCTCTCTCTATATCGTGATGGTTAGTAAAGGCCTTGTTGGCCTTGTTCAAATATAGTAAGAATTGTTTACTGACTGTTACAGGTGATAGGACAGACCCAATATATACATATATATATATACAGAATGGCCGCAACCCGGGTACAAGTATCGACATTTAGCACTGACACTGACGCATTCTGACGACACATTCCCTGACGACACATTCGTGACTGACGACGCATTCCCCCCTGACGACGCATTCTGACGACACATTCGTGACTGACGACGCATTCCCCCCGACGACGCGTTCTGACGGCACATTCCCTGACGACACATTCGGGGGCGACGACGCATTCTGACGACGCATTCCTGGATGGCGCACACCTTGCAGCCACAGATTCACAGTTTTTCTGCGCAAATGGCAATGTAAGCTTAAGACGAGAAGCGGGCATTCTATTTTCGCCTAATGGCATCAAACAATATCGAGAGGTCATGAGTACAAAGACTCTGCTACAGGAGCTACAGCTACGCAGTGCCTACTATATTACATACTACTCACCTCCTACTACTTACGATGTTTACTTCTCATCTTCCTACTCCTTTGGATGCTGCCTGGGGACTCCTAGTAGTAGTAGTAGCAGTAGTAGTAGTAGTAGCAGTAGTAGTGGTAGTGGTAGTAGTGGTAGTAGTGGTAGTAGTGGTGGTAGTAGTAGTAGTGGTAGTGGTTGTGGTTGTAGTCGTTGTAGCCGTTGTAGCCGTTGTAGTCGTTGTAGTCGTAGTCGTCGTAGTCGTCGTAGTAGTAGTAGTTTAGTAGTGGCAGTGGTTATAGTTATAGTTAGTAGTATTAGCATTATTGCTATTACTACTATTATTATTTGTAGTTGTAGTTAGTAGTAGTAATTAATAGTAGTAATTAGTAGTAGTAATTAGTAGTAGTAATTAGTAGTAGTAAGTGGTAGTAAGTCGTAGTAAGTCGTAGTAAGGCGTAGTAAGGCGCAGTAGTAGTAGTCGTCGTCGTCTTCAGGAGGGACTTCATCTTCGGGAGAATTCGTCTTCTGTGGGGAATTCGTGTTCGGAATTCGTCTTCGTCTGCGGGTGGAAAGTCGATACCTGCACAGCGGGTCCAATGTATGTATATATATATATTATACAGTATAATATGCAATGCATAAATGCCAATATGATCCAATATGTGTAAATCCATACAAGCCTCCGAGAAGTATTGCAAGCGATTGCGGGACATGCTCATGAATTCAACAGGCGTGTGAACTCATCTGCAGGCCTTGCCAGGGAAGGGGGGCACCGGAAGTACCAAAGGTGGTGGTGAAGCGCAAAGCTCCAAAACCTTTCAGGGCAGCTTGCTTCGGTGGGAAAAACTCGTTCCTGGCGTTTGTGTCAAACAATACGGTTGCAGTTGCGCCTGCCGCGCTTTCTCAGCACACTGAGACACTTGATTTGCCTCGGAAATGCCACAAAAGCCATTACTTCGATTCAGCCCATGTTCTCAGGAACCACTAACAAACTACTTTCACAGCCGATTGGATTTGCTATCCTTTTGCTCGTCTGCACGCTGTAGCCACTGTAGCCTGCACAACCGACAGCCACTCACAATCAATCCTCCTTGACACCGTGGGAGCTGACATAGATACCATCCAAGAACTTTCGGATATCCTTCTTCTTGCACAGGCAGGATTGGTGGATCAAAGCCGCAGAGCGGCCAGCCAAATCAATGTCCGTACTGGTCACCAGCACCTCATCCTTGGTGGAGGCACTCTTCTCCACGAGAGCACCCGGCAACATGTGCACTGTTCGCACCACCTTCTCACCCAAGAAGTTTCGGATCTCAATGGTCTTCCCACCGTTGATGATATTGATGTTGATGGGAAAGTGGGCATACACAAGGCGCATCTTATACTCAAACTTCTTGGTGACGCCTTCGAACAAATTGGAAATGTGGCTGCAAACGGTGTTGAGCATGGAGCACTGCTTGCTCTTGGCAAAGTACATCCGTGCCACCACCTTCTTGCCACCATTCGCCAAGAAAAGCTCGATCGGTAAGTGCTTGAAGTCTCTCTTCAAACTCCCGTGCTTTCCAGTTACCTCTCGCGTGGGGCTTCAAAAGGTGTTTCTAAAGGTCTTGCGTGTCGTACTTACTTGAAAATCTCAACATGTTTGTTGAACACACGTCACTGCATTGTGACCTCCACAATCTTGGACTTCACAGTGATCTTGCAACCCTTGGGCACCTTCACAGTCTCCTTCAGGGTTTGTGTCATGGAAGGCATCTTGTCATGTGATGGGCACCACAACATCAAACTCAAACTCTCGGCACCACTGGGGGAAAACTTGCAATTGAACTCTTGTTCGCTGTTAGTAACAAGTGCACCGCTACTAGTAACAAGGGCTTCGCTTATTTTGTACGTTCTTCCCTTTACCTTTCTCTCTCTCTCTCTCCAACTGGCTAACTCTGTTTGTCTTCAGTCTTACACTGTAGCTCTTGCACTATGTCATGATGTCTCAATCCTATCAGTCCATCGTTTAGACGTGCCACCCCGTCCTCAGTCAGCAAAGTCTTCATGGTTCGTTTGGACTGCAAAGGTCAGCGCGAGACACGAACGACACCGCTTTGGAGCCAAAAGGATGCGGTGTGCAGCATGCACAACCCACAGAACGCAAACCTGCATCGGCATTCTTAGCCCACAACTGAGATATGCCACACAATGGCACACAGAAATCATCAGCGATTTCTCTCCTATTGCCTCTCTTCCCTCGCTGGGGCTGCGGGCCAGATATTTGATGACCTCCTCGGCCTTGTCATGAACCTTTATCGCCACCAAACGTGGGGCCTTGCCTTGCGAGAGCCGAGCTGGCCGCCTACTAAAGGCATTATCTTCACTAGGTCTACTATATAATAGCAATGGCCTCCAACCTAATTACTAGCAATGGCCTCCAACCTGCTAGCGATGGCCTTCAACCTAAAAGGCATTGTCTTCACAAGGTCTTATGTGGTCTTATCTATAGCCCTTCAAATTTCTTTGAATCATTCAGAGCACTCCATTCACATTGACCACCATCCCCTTGGCGCCCCGCTGTTTTCATCAAAGCACTGCCCTAAAAGGCACAGGGCCCGTAGGCGTGGCTGCCACCTGCTGGATTGATCTGGATGCAGTGCTGCTGCCCAGCAACCGACTACTTGCAATATCTTGCAATGGATGACCCTGCTCAGCATCTTCAGGGTTATGACGTTCAAAGGCTTGGCATGTTGTGGCCGGCCCGACACACAACTCATGCGATGGGAGATTTTCGTTGTCATCCACGTGGTCCGGTCATGAGTAGCTCCATAGGCCTCTGATATCCCAATTTGGGGAATATATGGATGAAATTGGAGGATGAATATGGGCTTCTCCGCTAACCTCATGCTTTTCTGACTCGTGGGTTGGGGAAAGTACAAGTAGGTTGTGGAGAGCCATTCATTCCACACTTGGACGAAAGAATCACAAAAGGGTCTCAAGTCTCAAGCCAATCCTATCCACTGGGCTGCCCCGACTCGACACCATTCTGCAAGCTCAGCTGCTCAACAAGGGCGGCCTTTGAATTGAGCTTAGGCACCAAGTAGAGGAGTCACTCATAAAAAAAACAATGCAGTCCGTCAAGAGCTTAGACTCAGAACATAATGGCTGCACTTGGCTCGCAAACCGAAAGATGCGCGGACTTAAAGCCATAGCACCTCGCCAAGGCAACACAAGGCAAGTTGCTTCAAGCCCATTCTAGAACCCCCCTCTTTGACCAGCAAACGAGCAGCTGATTAGCTGCGGCGCTCTAGGCTTGTGCTTGATTGACATGTGACACCCGCCTAATTTGTAGCTATATACATAGCTTCTGCGTGTTTCTGCCAGTGGTTTCAGGAGTCAGGAGCACCTCTCCCAAAGTGCTGCCATCTCCTCCACAGTAGGCTCCACCCGAGCCGGGTGGAACTCCTGGCGCAAAAGTGGCTGCCACATTGAGCAACAGCTCTCAAGTGAAACGGTGTGGCATATGCGCAAAAACCGGACAATCGCCTTGCCTTACCCAGCCCCCATTCGAGCATGTCGCGAGATGTTGCGCGCAAAACCAACTACATACGCTCCTGGCAAAAGGATGCTATGATCTCCTCAGTCTGTGCTCTGCCCGACGGAACAAGGTGTTCTAGTGATTCACTGAAGTGAAGAAAACCGGCTGGACCATGCAGTGTAATGAAACCCACTGACTGACGCTGGATTAGGCAAGTTGCAGTGACCTCATCTATGTGTCGCTTGGTGCGCTTCGAGATCTTCTTCTGCTGTGCCTGGGCCGCAGGGTTGCACAAGATCTAGCGACCAAGTGTCCAAATTTGCCGTGATTTGCAACCGCACATTCAGAATTAAACGCGCTAAAGTCAAGACATACGGTATACTAAAACATATCTCGAAAAAAACTGTGCATTCAGCAGCCAACACACGGAACTACTACAGTAAACAATCATTTAACCGATTCCAATTCAAACACTCCGCACCCATCCGCACCTTAGGAGCATTCCCCGTCACAAGCGCTGAGAGCCTCAGTCCGGACTGAGGACGCTGCACCTGCCAATATCAGGAATATAGCGACCCCCAAATAGTTGGAAATCATTTCAAAATTCCTTTCAAAGTCTATTGGAAATCGTTTCTATCTTGCCGGGGGCCTTTATAATACTGCTGGTAAAGCATTGCAAATATCATAATGTGACATAGGATCAAGGAACAGCTCGCGCCCCCAATAATTAACGAATTTAACATATGAATTTCCGCATTGGTCCTTGGAGTAAATATATGTTCTTTTAACATACTAGATATGTAAAAGTTGTTTAATTGAGCTACTCTTGGCATCCATCACCTTCCTGTAGTGAAGCTCATCCATGGTGAAGCTGATGTTCTGATCCACTCATCCATCATTCTCATTCTCCTTCTGCTTCTCATCCTGCTTCTTTCCTCATCCTTCCGGTTGAAATCATCAAACGCTCGCTAGCAAAATAGTTTTATTCTCTTGTTCAAACCCTATGAATACCTTCAGGTTTTCAAGCTCACAAAGGGGCCCTCACACAGGCCCTACCACCATCCAATACTAGGAGCCCCTCCCCACATTAATCAAGCCCAATGTCTGGCCGCCTGGCCTCAATCTTATCTTCCATCTCTTTCATCCTGCAATCCTCTTACTTTTCCAAATCGTCCCAATCAACTAAACTATATATACCCAAATGGTTTCCCTATAGTCTCATGAAATGGACTGCCCCTGGTACATACTATTCTTGCAGAGTGGGTGCGCTGAGCTTGCAATCAGGTCAAGAGCTTCTGGCCAGGCAGCTCGTTCTATGAAAACTTGTCTGGTGAATGGCAGTGTGCAGCTAAATACTGGATATTTCTAGGCAAGCACAGAAGGAAAGAAATTCGGACAAAAGTTGCAGCTCTTACTTGCGGCAATCACGAAAAGCTCCCTGCTAACATCCACAATCTACAAAAACCTACAAACAATGCCGTCCCAATCGTTCAACCACGACAACAGCTAACTAACTTGTCTTCCTCAGCGCCCCACTCTTCCGCCCATGATGTGAAAAGCCCGTTCGCAAGCCAGCCTTGCCTGGTGGGTGCACTGAAACGGAAGACAAAAACATCCGAGCTTCCGATCATCTGTGTGACTGGGGCAACATCTCCGACTAGCGGGAGCGCTCATCTGCATCCGTCACAATTGACACGGAGCCTGATTGCTCGGCCAGCCATGTTGTAACCAGCAAAACGCCGCAAAGCTAGGGAAAAAAACTGCACGGATCATGATGAAAGAATCCTTGCCGTGTACCTTGCTAAGTATAGTATGAGACCTATCTAGATATGTGCGCAAACCAGCAAGCTGTGGTCAAAACGGTCATGACTTTGTCAGCGCTGCCTTGAACAAAAAAGCAAGAGAGCACGCACGCGGCGTGTCACCCTCTCAGGGCATGTATCCCAAACCAGAAGACACTAGCTGCTGAGACGCCGAGGCAGGCAGCCCCACATCGGCTGTACAATTTCAAAGCGCCCAGATCTGCGGAAACCCCGTGGTACCAGGTGTGTGACATGTTCAGCAAGCGCGCATGGACCTTCATTTTTCTTCCATCACCACCGCTGCACTGGTACATCCTGACCTTCAGAGAGTGGTCTCCCCTTCCAATCATTGTGCATAGCTTGGGGTCATTCTTGGATGATACTGTTGCCTAGGAAGTGACCGTATAGACACCGTTGAATGGTGTCCGTTGCAGCGGTTGCCGCAATTAGCCACTCACACCTAGCAAGACTTTCCTGCTGGCAAAGGTCGGGTGTGACCCAACTCGCTCCTCTACTCAGTATGGTTGGAAACGGTTTTCACCACCTCCTTCCTTCACTGGACCACCGCCGCCTGGCTTGAACATTAGGCCGATCTGCAGATCCAGGGGCACTATGAGACATTGACACTAATTCAGAGATTAACACTAATTCTGCAATCAGCCTTTGTCCTGGCAAGGCCAGGGTTGAATCCCATTGTCATTGTTATATTGAATTTACCTTTAAAACAACCCTCCTCCATCAACTTGCTCCAGCTTGGTATAGTTTGCATGTATTTAAGTCAAAAATGAAAACACCAAGCTAAAGTGAGTGAAAACAGTTGCCATGTGGAAGTTCTGTCTGCTAGCTTCGATTCTGGTTGGTTGGACCATCTTCTCCAATGCAATGAACAGCATTCCTTCAAGCCAACTGAGGCTCAACAACCAGCAAGCTGGCCTTCAGCCTCGGCATCCCCTGGAAAGGCGCGCTCATTCTGTGAAAGGCAAGAGCAATCTCACTTTGCAATACATTATTGTGCATGCATACATCTCCGCACATCAATATGTATCCTTTATTTATATGGGTTTGTATGTTTCTTTTGACGTTCCCGGGCCGGGATGTTTGACTATGGGGTATGCTTCGGAGGTATGCTTCGCACAGTGTGAAGACTGAAGTAGTAGCGTTTTCAGAGGGTATGCTTCGCCTACGTTGAACATCCCAGCCCTACATAAATTGGACACCTTAAAAACAACTATATTATAATATACTTATATATATATATATGTGGTAGTATATGGTGTAGGTTCGATAAGAACCTATCCAGAAAGGCTGACCGGAAATTCAGCCATTCGGCCCACCTGAGTCGCCCGGTGGACCACCTGGTATCGCCGCAGCTCCGGGAGGCGCGGCACCAGCACCAGGTGCCCCAGGGGTCGCACCTGAAGCCAAATGCTTAACATTGCTACTAGCTTGGAGGCCATCGCAATTGGGTTGGAGGCCATCGCAATTGGGT